AAAAAAAAAATTTCACCTGTAAAAAACTCGAAAAACTTTAAGTGCAATTTTTTATAAATATCTTTTTAGTTGTAATTTAATTAATAAAACTAAATCAAAAATTTTTAGACCTCTGCTAACTTTATTGTAATAAAATTTTTAAAATTACAACTTAGATAAAAAAAAAAATTATCAAAATTATTGAAAGAAAAAAAATCAACCTGAACTTATTGAACCCTGTCTAAAATCACAACTGAACACCAAAATATAATTAACAATTGACAACCTCTAGCTAAAAGTCCTCCGAGCAATTACTCCATCAATCATCAGCACATTACATCTATATATAAATAAACATTACTTAAATATATATGACCCCAGAATATAATTAAATATCTATATACACAATCGATTTTTTTTTTTTGACCAACTACTGCCAAATTGGCATTTTAAATCGGAAGTTTTATTTTTCTCAACAATTCAATGCTAATAAATAAATAAATCCTTGATAATAATAATAATAATAATAATAATAATAATAATAATAATAATTACAATAGTAATTATTTATAACGACACAAGTAATTAATTTTACTCACCAATAAAATCAAAAGATAACCTCGATAAAAATAATCACTAGTTTCTATTTTTTTTTTTTTAATGTAATTTCACAGCGGTAATTAAAAATTTTTTTTTTTAATAATTATTATTTTTGTTTTTTTAATTAAACTTGAAATTTTTTAAATTATTATAATTTTTAATAAAGACCTCACCCACTTTTTATTACACATCAATAAGTTTAGTTTTAGTTACATGAACATGAACGCTACTACTGTACATTGACATCCGATGAATATGTATATGTAGGAATATTATATATACTATAATATATGTGTGTGATTTGTCGTTGATCGTTGATGGTTGATGACTCAGGCAGCGCCCTTACTATTAAACTTTAGACAATAAAACTACGGCATTGTACTAACGTAACTGTACTTTGTTTTCTGTTTTTTTTTTTTTTTTTTTTTTTTTTAAATGGAGAATGATTTTTTTTTATTTCAGAAAATGGCTCCCGGTAAGGTATAGTTATAGGTTAGTGTAATTTGTAGGTGTTCGGAAATTGATTTAAGGAAAATATTAGTCGCCTTGGAAACAGGGAGATGGAGCTGGCAAAGCGCGTGCGCGGGAATTATAAGCGGGAAAATTTGAATTTTTTTTTCTAATTCTAAAATTTAAGTTATTAGCTGTCACTTGACCATTTTATAATTTTATTTAACAAAAAAATTATTTTTAAAAAAATGCATTTTTAATTTATTAAAATTTCTAAATGTCAATTTTTTTATGCAGTAATTTTATTTATTAGAAAAATTATTAAATATCTGCTTAAATTTGGTTATTTTTTAGATGAAAATTAAGTAAGCCGACATTTAAAAATTTTTAGAATTTTCTTTTCATTGAAAAAATGATTACAAAAGAATAAAAAAAAAAATTTCACTTGTAAGAAACTTTAAAAACTGTAAGTGCCATTTTTAAAAAATGTTTTTTGTTCTAATTTAATTATTAAAAAAAAATCAAAAGATTAAAAAAGTCGACTAACTTTAGTATTATATTTTTTAGTGGTTTTTTTTTTTTTAATTAAAAATTTTAGTTTGACTAGCAACCTTGCAGTCACTATGTGACTGCTGTGACTAGTGAACTATAAATAAATAAAATTTTGTTTTATTAAATAATGACTTTTGTTAAATTGCACTGTTTTTTTTTTCAACTATTA